AGTTCACAAAAAAGCACTGGTCCCTGCATAGTTCAGGTGTAAACTGTCCCAATGGTACAGCCGCCACTTTCCCCAGTGCTGGTGCCAATGGTCCACGAGCCACAATCCCTTTGTTTCCACATCAGTCTTTCACAACAGAGTCATTTCTCAAATTTTATGTACACTATGCCAATGTGCACATGTCTCAGGTACTAATCCACGGATTATATCTTTTTAGGTTCTGCTTTTTAATTTAGTGTCTGATTCTGGTCCTAACCTCTGCATCTTTCCCCTTTGACAACTCCACCCTGTTACTTCTCTCTCTGCTTTTGTAAGTATTCCAAATTGCCTTTGCTTTGATTCTTTCCCTTTCTTATTATTGCTTAGTGTCCAAATTTCCACTGCTGTGTAAGTTGCAATATGTGAACTGTCCAATGGAAAATGAAGTTGCTGTTGATCTTACAGGCAACATCATGTATAAATTACAAAGCTCCCTCTATAGGTCTGTGAAGAGTGAACAGCCTGTAACCCACAGAAGAACCCTTCACAACTCCTCTCGCCACTGTCCCCACCCAGATGTACTTCCCATATTGTCAAGTATTTATTTTACTTATATATGGCGAAACAGACAGCAATTCTACAAATCACAACATTCATAAATATCTTATCAAATAGCTTCAGAAAATGTAAACAGATTATATTCACTGGATAATACACTTCAAAAACCACAAGAACTCTTCAAAAAATGCTTATTTATAAATCCATTATAATTTTCCCCTTATAGCCTGTTATGCTCTTTTGATGAATATTGATAGCATCTTGTGAAGTTCTTTTAAGTCCTATCCACACAAATGATAGTAGCTCAACTACCAAATGAATCTCAAATTGATACTACAGTACTTTTGAAATAATGTAGTGATAAGTATTACTCCTCAGTTATTGGGGATCAATTCTGTTCTATTGGAGCATAAAATGGTACAGCACAGAAGCAGACCCTTTGGCCTGCCATATCTGCGCTGACCAAGATGGCGTTCTAAACCAACCCCATCTGCCTGCATATGGTCTGTATCCCTGTATTCTCTGCCTGTTCATATGTCTAAGTGCCTCTTAAACATTGCTATTCCAGGCACTTACCATCCTCTGTTAAAAAAACACTTTTCTTGCACATTTCCCCTCTCACCTTAAACCTATGCCCCTAGTTTTTAACATTTCCAACCTGGGAAAAAGACTCTGACAACCATGCTATCCAGGTCTCTCATAATTTTATATACTCTATCAGGTCACCCCTCAGCCTCGAATGCTCTCGTGAAAGCAATCCAAGTTTGTCGAACATCTCCTTATAGTTAATGAACTCCAATCCAGTCATATCCTAGTAAACTTCTTTTGCATCCTCTCCAAAGCCTCCACATCCTTCCTATAGTGTGTGGGCCAGAACTGAATGCAATACTCTAAATGTGATCTATCTAAAGTTTTATACAGCTGCAACATGGCTCGCCAACTTTTATAATCAATATCCCAACTGATGAAGGCAAACATGGTGCATGCTTTCTTCATCACCTTATCCACTCGTGTTGCCACTTTCAGGGAGTGATGGACGTGCACCCAAAGGTCCCTCTGTATATCCATACTCTTCAGGGTCTGGCCATTACTGTATACTTTCCTTTAGCACATGACCTCCCAAAATGCAACACTTCACATTTGCTGGATTAATCTCCATCTGCCATTTCTCTGCCCAACTTTCCAACTGGTCAACTTCCTGCTGTATCCTTTGAAAATCTTCCTCACTATCCACAACTCCACCAATTTTTGTGTCATCTGCAAACCTACTAATCAGACCACTTACTGTTTCATCCAAATCATTTAAATAAATTACAAACAGCAGGGTGCCAGTGCTGATCCTTGCAGAACACCACTGGTCACAGACCTCCAGTCAGAAAGAAAAACACTTTTCCAAAACTACCCTCTGTCTTCTATGACTAAACCTGTTTTGTATTCAACTTACTAAATCACTGTGAATCCCATGTGACTTAATCTTCTGGACCAGCCAACCATGAGGGACTTTGTCAAATGCTTTAGTAAAGTCCATGGAACAACATCTGCTGCCCTACTCTCATCAACCATCTTCATCAATTCCTCAAAAGACTCAATCAAATTTGTGAGACAAGACCTCCTGTCAGAAAGCCATGTTGACTATCCCTAATAAGTCCATTCTTTTCTGATTGCAAGTTGATCTTGTCCCTAAGAATCTTCTCCAATAATTTTCCTACCACTTTAATGTAAGGCCTAAAATTTCCTGAATTATCCCGGTTGCCTTTCTTAAACAAAGGAACATCTTTGGCTATTCTTCAGTCTTCTGTGACCTCACCTGTGGCTAAAGAGGCCACAAAGATCTTTGCCAAGGCCCCAGCAATCTCCTCCTGTGCCTCCCGCAGTATCCTGGGATAGATCCCATCAGGTCCTGGGGAATTACGGACCTTATTGATTATTAAGTCACCCAACAGCTCCTTCTTAAAGTACACATGCCCTTAAATATCACCATGCCCTTCCATAACCTTCCCAACCTGGGAATAATAATCAGGCACATTTTTGGTCTGTCTACATGTCTCCAATGTGCTCCAGGTGAGCTATGTCTCTTGGCTTCAGAGAGCACACACACATAGAAACATGTACTGTATCTACACTGATAAAGTTAAATGAAGTTTTAAGTTCTGCTTCCACCTATCACCTGAACTTCCTCAAACCCTTTATTGCAGTTTTTAAGATTTAGAGCTGTGTCATTAATTTTGACCTGGGGCTAATTATATATTAAGTTAGGGATGGTTTATCGCTGGATCCATGTGTTACTAACTTGGTCTGACTACTGTATATTACTGCACTTGGAGAATATCAGCTTGGCCCTAAGACATTGCGGAAGATAAATCACTTGCATTTGGGACAGTGAGACACATTTCAAATGCGTCTTTGCACTAAAATATTTTCCATAAAACGGGAATCAGCGACATAATGCCATCTATATGTTGGTTATTTGTTAGATTCGAAATTAGATAAGCTATCAGGAAAGCATGTAACTTCTGTCCCAGGTGTCAAATCCATCTTTCTATTCTCATGGCTGTGATATTTTCCAGTGATATTAACAATTATTTCCTGGTTTAAACATGACATAGATCAACAGGATAGATTTATTTGCTGCCAGAGGATTGAACGATGTATTTGCTTGCTTCAGAGAGTCTCCACATAATAGAAACAAAGCATTCTCTAGGAGTCTAATGGCTGAAATTTGGTAGCACTCTCATGTTTAGCTGGTATCAATGGTGGGACTTGACAGGGTAACAGTGACAAATCACCACTGTCGAGGACAACTTTGCTTTCACTTGTCATTTACAATTGTTTTTGTTAATCATTCCAAAGTGAAGTTATTCTCCAAACTAAACAGCAGTGAAGACTGGAATGAACGATATGGGCAAACCTCTGTTAAAATGCCATACAAGATAGTGGTGGAAACATAGACATAAAGAGAACACCGAGTGAAGCTTTAAACCACAAAGGTATCAAACGCTTGCAAACTTCTAACGACATGGATATAGTGAATTTCAATACGCTTTTTAACGTGCGATTCTTTCCCCAGAATTTCATTTCCATTCCAACAATTAAAAACATTCTTAAGGGTGTTTAAAACTAGAACAACAAATTGATTTCCAAACGGTCAATCTCTCCTTCCATCTCAAGTTCCAGTCAATTTAAAAACAACCCTAACCTTCCCGGAGATTCCTGCACACCAGGACTACATCTCACAGTGAAAGTGAGATGCAAAGTCAAAGCTGAAAATGGATCTGAAGCTATAATTCAAAATGAAACAACGAGAAGGTGCCGGTTGCGATGCGGATCCCGACACTAGGGAATAATTAATAGGTTATTGCTGTTTTACAATTTACTGGATCTAATTCGGTGGCTGAGTTGGTCGCTGTTCTATGTTTGCCTGTGATGTGCGGGAACAGATGTTTTCGCTACTGTAATAGGAAGAAGTGCAAATAAATTCAGTGATTGACAGTAGAAGTCCTGATAATGATCCTCCCCCCTCCCCACAAAACACAAAACTCGTCCCTGTTTCATATTGGCATGTGTTTTTTTTATTATTAATACATATATACATCGTGGTCATTTCATTTCTGGTGATTGTGTTGTTGGCAATTTCAACAGTAGCTGAGGTCTCCTGTGTTTTGACTCCTTCGAGTCCGCCAGAGGTTGAGTCCAATGCGGCTGGAGCTGCGTTGCTGTGCGCCTGTGTGTAACCCTGTGTGTTCACAGGCACCGCCAACATGTTCGGAGTGTGAATATTACCAGCGGAATCCCAGAGCGGCGGGTGGCCGAGCGGGCTCACTGCTCCACCGCCCAGGATGGAGCCCGGAGTTGGGTCACCTGCAGTGCCCCCTCTGACAGTATTCACAGAGGCAACGCTGCGGACATGAGGATCTCTTCCCCAGTCTAGCTGCCTTCCCCAGGGAGCTGAGTCTACAACTCCGTCCGTGCCGGTGTAAGCCTCTTGTTTGGCGGGGAGAGGGTGGTGGTGGGGATATCCCCGTTATCCCATCCTTGCGTTTGCATGGATTGGACAGGATGTGATGGGAACTGTGGACGAGAGGAGAGCCAGTTAAGTGCTGAGCTCTATGCTGAGCTGCACATTAACACCCAGTCCAACACTGTGTAGATGCTCGGCGCTGCTTCCTCTGCAGGGTTTTTTTTTCAAAGCCGTGCGGTTCTGCTTTCCTTTGAACTGCTGCTGAAATCCTACTGAAGGAGGTGAAGAAGGCAACGCACACAAATGTATGTGTCCAGATATTTTATATCTGTCAACTTGAATCAATGGTATTAAGAGAGGGGGCGCCAAGCGACGTTAAAAGACGTTATTCGGGACCCCTCAACAAGAGCAGGAAGGGGCGAGAGGAATGCACTGAACTCGGATCAGCTCAGTGGCTGGACCAGATTGCAACACCTTCGAAGGGGTGAAGAGACAGAGAGACAGAGAGAGAGGGATCGCGGCAGCCAGCGAGCCCCAGTTCCAGTGCCTACCTTCTGATGCGGCTCTCCTCTGGTTTGTGAGAGTGTGAGTGTGTGTGTGCGTGCGGTTTCTCCTCCAGGATGCAGACAATCCCCAGGACCTACCGAGCTGGCCTCTTCTGGCGCTGCCTGCGCCACCTCGGCACGCTCTTGGTGCTATGGATCTGGGGCTTGCTCTCCAGCTCGGCTCTGGGGCTGAGGAACAGTCGCCTGGAAGCCGACTCCAAGCTGCCCATCATGGGGCTGATGCCCATCAACAAGGCGGCAGAGAGCATCTCCGAGGGCATCATACCAGCCGTCGAGCTGGCCACAGAACACGTCCACAACAAATTCTTACCCAACACCAGCAAACTGGTCCTGAAGTGGTACGACTCCGAGGTATGTTTCTTTTATTTGTGAAGCTATCTGTGTGTGTGTGTGTGTGTTTAATCCAGTCTGTTTACAAACGAACACGTAGAGGATTTCCAATTAGTTCTCACCCTTTACCTGTTCAACCCCCACCCCGGTACATATCTCCTTAATATGTCCACAGTGTGATACTTACGTGGTGCGAAGTGTTAATTTTGAATTGTGCTGTTTTGCTACAATGCGCAGTGGATGAATGAGTTAACCCTTGGCAGGGTTCAGGGATTTGCTGTGCCTGTTTAGCGCTCGGTTTCTTGTGTCTTGTGGCTACAGCGCGTTTAGCTTTTCGATTTTGACCCAGTTTTGCCTGTGCACCGTGTGTAGACATGCGGATAACATAACATTGGTTAGCAGCTAAGCAAGAAGCGAGGAGGAATGGGGACAGGACGCTGTGTGTGTGTGTGTGTGTGTGTGTGTGCATTTCTTTTTCCCTTTTGAGGAATATGAATGAGCTCCTGAAGTCATTGCATTAATCTGGCGAACAGGAGCCCGTGCGCTGCCTGGGGAAGCAATGAACAGGCAGAGCGATGGATCTGTCTCTGCTCATTGCCTGCCAGCAGCTAACAGTTAACACTGCAGACCACGGCCACCCCCTCCTCGCCAAGAGATCTGTGCATAGGTGACAACTTAACACGTTTCATGTGAAATAAAAACACTCCGAATCACCTTGAGACCTCGCTCTTGAAGGGAGGAGGTGTCCACTACAACAGGTATTGTGTTTTCCTTCCCCAGATGATATACATAGATGCACATTTGTTTGTCACGGTGGAATTAACGTGCTAGGGGCGGGGACAGGCTCAGGACTGAGTGAGCATTACCTGAAGGTGGCAGCAGTTTCACACCAAGCGCTGCCCACATTGCCAAGGTAACCGCCATCCCATGTTGAGTGCAGGGTTTTTTTTTGTGTGTGGAGGTGCTTAGAGCGGGCAGTGGCACTTCACTGTCAGTGACCCAGTCAAACACAAACACTTAGCACCAGGCTGGCTGTACGTGCTGTGGCTCAGAAACTGGCACAGAGGGCAGACACTCGGCAAGGCTGTGAGACAGCTTTCCTTTGCAATATGTGTATGCTCGCCTTCGTTTCTAAACAGGCTTTGCCTCTCTCCATTGCATTTTCATTTCATCTTGTACGGTGATGTAAAGCAAAACATGAGGCGGGCATTTACAAATGATTCCACGGGAATGTTTGGTCCGATCGGCCCCTTTAAAAGGACAGGATGAGGGATTCGCAAACTAACTGAAAGCCATTTGGAGAAGGGGAAATTCCTTCAAATGTCGAAACGACAGGTGGTTGACCCAAGAGAATATCTCCGCAGTTCACAAGGACAGAGACTGTAACAACAACAGAAATTGCTGGGTAAACTCAGCAGGTCTGGAAGCCGCTGTGTGGAGAGAAAGAGTTAATGTTTCCAGTTCACTGACCGTTCTTTAGAACTCTGCTCTCTATCCACAGATGCTGAGCTTCTCCAGCTATTTCTGTTTTTGTTTCTCATTTCCAGCATCAATAGTTCTTTGTTTTCTTTTGTGTGACAGATGAGGAAGGCTTTTAGGCCCATGTTAGTTCATAAATCCAGTAGAATCTCAATGGCACCTCCCCGCCAGTGTAGCATCCATCTGGTTTCATTCATGGGAGCTGGGGCCAGCGGTGAGGCCGGTTTGTATCGCCTCAGCCCGGTTAATAACTGAGTGGCCGTCAACAGGCAAACAAAAGGGGTCATGACGAGGCAAAGAGGCAGATATCATTCCCAAAAAGATATTAGTGATCCAGAGATGTTTTTACAACAATTCAGTCATTTCACGCTCAACAATACTGGCACCACTTTTTATTAATAAACTAAATTTATATTTGCCATCTGCTATGATGGGATTTGAACTCACATCTCTAGATTGCTAGTTCTTAATGTTTTGAGCATTTTACTAAATTTCTCTGCTATTTCTCTTAACATTTTAAACGTATTTCTCAAGTAACTGTGTACTCCACAGAAGCAAATTCAGGCCTTTAATATTTATCTTGATCAGGTGCTTCAAGTCCTTCAGAGGATTTTTATAGCCAGAACATGATGATATTTTCTTTTTTTTAATAAAAAAACATTTACAAAACCACGATGCAGCTGTACATCTAAATTGCTCCCTAAATCCAATTGCTCCAATTTTTACCTTCACAGAAGCATATCCACCTGTTGACTATTTTCAGTTTGAAAAATAATTTCTGAAAATCTGTTTCAAAAAGACTTTTTTTGTTTGAACTTTTCCTCTGGTTTTGAAGTTTAATGTAAAGTAATATCCTGAGTTAACTTCTTGTATACTCATAGAGTCATAGAGTTGTATAGAACAGAAACTGACCCTTCAGTCCAATTTGTTCATGCTAACCAAATATCCTAAATTAATCTTGTCTCATTTGCCAGCATTTGGCCAATATCACTCTCAACCCTTCCTATTCATGTACCAATCCAGATGCCTTTTAAATGCTGGATTTGTACCAGTCTCCACCACTTCCTCTGGCAGCTCATTCTATATATGCGCCAACATCTGCATGAAAAAGTTGCTGTGTACTTCCCTTTTATATCTTTCCCCTTTCAATTTAAACCTTTTGGTCTCCCCCACCCTGTGAAAAAGACCTTGGCTATTCATCCTATCTATGCCCTTCATGATTTTATAAACCTCAACAAGGTCACCCCTCAGCCTCTGACACTCCAGGGAAAATACTTCTGCTTATTCAGCCTCTCCCTGTAGCTGAAATCCTCCAACTCTGGCAAAATTCTTGTAAATCTTTTCTGCACGCTTTCAAGTTTAACAACATCTTTCCTATAGCAGGGAGACTAGAACTGAACGCAGTACCAAAAATGGCCTAACCAATGTCCTGTACAACAGCAACATGACATTATAACTCCTGTACTCAATGCACTGACCAATAAAGGCAAGCATACCAAATGCCTCCTTCAGTACTCTGTCTATCTATGACTGCACCTTCAAGGAACAATGAACCTGCACCCCAAGGTCTCTTTGTTGAGCAACAGTCCCCATTAAGTGTATAAGTCCTGCCCTGATTTGCCTTATCAAAATGCAACATCTCATATCATTTATTTAAATTAAATTCCATCTGCGACTCCTCGGCCCATTGGCCCATCTGATCAAGGTCCCATTGTACTGTGAGGTAACCTTCTTCATTTTCCGCTACACCATCAATTTTGGTGTCATCTGCAAACCACCTACTAACCATTCCTGCTATATTCACATCTAAATCAATTATATAAATGACAAAAAGCAATGGACTCAGCACCGAGCCTTGTGGCATACTGCTGGTCACAGGCCTCCAGCCCCAAAAGCAACCCTCCACCATTACCCTCTGTCTTCTACCTTCCAGGCAATTTTGTATTCAAATAGCTATCTCTCCCTGGATTCCACGGGAGATAACCCTGCTAACGAGTCTATCATGTGGAACCTTGTCGAATGCCTTTCTGAAATCCATATAGACAATGTCCACCACTCTGCCTCCACCAATGTCCTTTCTCACTTCTTCAAAAAAACTCAATCAAGTTTGTGAGAAACAATTTCCCATGCACAAACCCATGTTGAATATCCTTAATCAGTCCTTGCCTTTCCAAATACATGTAGATCGTGTTCAGAATCCCCTCCAGCAACATACCCACCACTGACATCAGGCTGACAAGTCTATAGTTCCCTGGCTTTTCCTTACCATCTTTCTTAAATAATGGCACCACATTAGCCACCCTCCAGTCTGTTGGCACCTCACCCGTGCCTATCAATGATACAAATATCTCAGCAAGATGCCCAGCAATCAGTTCCCTTGCTTCCCACAAAGTTTTGGGATACACCTGATCAGGTCCTGGGGATTTATCCACCTTTATGCGTTTTAAGACTTCTAGCACCTCTTCCTCTGTTAAATGGACACTTCAAGATATCACTGTTTATTTCTCCAAGTTCTCTAGCTTCTGTATCCTTCTCCATAGTAACCACTGACGGAAAATACTGGTTTAGTATCTCGTCCATTTTCTGTGGCTCCACACATAGACAGCCTTATTGATCTTTAAGGGGTGTTATTCTCTCCCTAGTTACACTTTTGCCCTAAATATATTTGTAGAATTTCTTTGCATTTTCCTTAATCCTATTTTAACTAATAGTTTTATATACTTCTAAAACATCACCTCAGACATGCCTGTTTCTGAGGTTGTATAGGCCACGTTTCTCTCACCTATCTGTAAACTGAACTTGTACTAGGGATATGTTTCACTACAATGTCCTCAGGGCTTGAATATTTTACTTATTGCTTGATAACCAGAACTGCAGTATCAAAGTACAGTTCAACAAGTGTACAATAAAGATTCATCACTACATACTCTGACTGATATTCTATTATCTTGGCTCTGCAGTTGATATCTTATTAGACTTGTTGTTTGCTGTTCTGCATTGATCAAACATATTTTACAAATAGTTTAGTAAACCCTCTTTCAGCTTCATCCTTTGTCATTTCAGGACAGTTCTTAAAGTACACATCATGTCTATTCCTGTGTGGCATTTTACACTTTTTTTGCAATATAATTCATTTGTCATTGGCTGCTCACATAGATATTGTCCAATTGATTTAATAATTTATGCAATGCCTTCTTTCATTCCATTACCCTGGTATCAGCTCCAAATTTTACTACTTTGCATCTGTAATTAGCGAGAATTACACGTTTGGGTTCACCACGATGTGATACTGCCAAAGAAATCATAGTTCAAAGACTGAGGTCTGACAGTCCTCTGTGCCAGCAAATATAATGTAATTTCCAAAAATTAGTGGATCACTAAGAAAATCATGCAATTTATCATTTTATTCAGTGGCAAAGAGAAAACTAATCATGGTGTGCCGACAATAACAATCTTTTGAAGTGTTTTAAGAAAGTTAAGGAATCACTTCATTAGTAGAAATGTTTAAGTTTTGCTTCTTCACCTGTGGTGTGTACAGTTGC